TATTGTGTTGTCAATGTAGGCTGCGAAAGTTGTCAATGGATGCCGTGATAGTTGTCAGTAGGGCTGCTTCACTTGTCAATAACAACTGGACGATTATTGATGCAGATTTACATTACTGATAGCCAGTACGTCTGGGAAGCATTTATTTTGCTTTGTTCATATAGAGGTAAGTTTATAAATGATGGAGAAGATGATATGAGATATATTGGAGGTGGTGCAAGAACAAAATTATACAAGTACAACATATCACAGAAGTTTTTGTACAAATTTATCAGGAATAATCAATAAAAAATCATTGTGAAGTGTAAGGTTGATAGTTGTCCATAGTATATGAGTGCATATCGATGGGAGGACATCAAGATATTATGTTTTTAACCATCACAGCATATAGAAGTGAACATATTCATCATGCACAGGACAACTTGCTTGTTTCTCATTCGAGAAGGTCAAATTTAGCTTCTTCAATTGTGACTGATGACTTGAAGTGAAATATTAGCAAGAGTCCAAATCTCAGCAGAGAACATATTGAAATCAGCTATTTTTTATATATGGGCGTGAAAGGAATATTTTGTAAATAAGTGTGAATGGATTTTTTTTTTTTGTAAATGGATACATACCAACAGTTCGTTTAGTAATTACATGCAACCCATATGATTTTTTTTAGATGGGTTGAGAAATAGGTGTAGTTTTATGTATACGAAAGTGTAAATAAAAATTGACTATTAATTGATATGTTAGACTCTGCTGTCATTTGAGTTATAATTATTGTACTCTACATTGTCAATAGACCTGTTTTGACTTGTCACTGCTTGTATTATAACTTGTTAATTAATCTACTGATGTAAGTTATCTAAAATGTGAATTCAAGGTATATAATGGGTTTTAGCATCATGAAATGTTTTCAATTACTCTGACATATTACATTTTGGTTATAATATTGTATATAATCATTATTAAAAGTATATCATTGCTGATATAAAATTATAAAATGAATTGTCAATAATTACACCATCGCTTGTTAATGTTGATAATGTCACTTTTCATTCGCTACACTATTATGTGTCAATATAACTGCAGATATGAGTTTTAAAAAAAATGTGATTTTAAGTTATATAGTGTCATTTAATATTGACATATTCTCTAGATTAATGTGACATTTGTTAACGTAAAAAAAATCAATAAATCGTAATTACCATTTGATTTGTCAACGGTAGTAATATGACTTGTTAATGGTGGCATTGTGACTTGTCAATGGTCGTACTGTGACTTGTTAACTATAAAATCAAGGATATAGAATTTCATCCAGGTGCGGAGGTCCTGTGGCAGATTCATCCAAGTGTCGCGGTGCCTATTACAGAATGTCTCTCCTTTGTCCTGCTTCAGAGGCTGTAGCGGATTGCTTCGGGCACCGCGACGAATTAAGCGTTATCAAGCTTGTCAACAAATACACTGTGACTTGTCAACGGTGGCACTATAACTGGTCAATGGTGGCACTGTCACTTGTCAAATTTTGAAAAATTATTATCCAATTAACGTAAATTTTGGTTATACCTTTTGGTTAATATTGTCATTTTAATTACATATAACTTAATTGAGCATTTTAAATAAATGACACCTTTTATTTGAAAGTTTTTAATATAGTTGTTAATATCCACCCGTTGACTTGTTCATAAGGCTATTGTAACTTGTTAAATTTTGTGCTGTTTAATGTCATTTTCAGAGCTACTTTGTTAAACATAATTTAATTGAAAATTTCAAATAAATAACACCTTCACATAAAGCAATAGGCTGCATGGAATTAGATTATCCATGAATTTAATATAAAACAATAATACTACTTGTTCACTAGTCCATAGATATTAACTTCATAATTTACTTGTCAATACAACCACATTAAATACAAAATGCCATTTTACAAGCACAATCGATATGACCAGTTTCAGTTACACTCTTCATTATTTGTCCCTTCTTTTATACTTGCTGTTCTTGCACTACTTCCAATATATCTTATATCATCTTCTCTATCATTTATAAACTTATTCCCTATATGAACAAAACAAGTAAATGCTTCCCAGACGTACTGGCTATCAGTAATGTAAATCTGCATCAACAATTGTCCAGTTGTTATTGACAAGTGAAGCAGCCCTACTGACAACTATCGCGGCATCCGTTGACAACCTTCGCAGCTTACATTGACAACACAATATCCCATTTCGCAGAAAAGGTTTCTACCCACACCAACTTTCATCTTCTTCAACTTTTCATGCTAAAGCATGCTAAAACAGAGCAAAACTACCCACAATGTCACCAAAAACAGAGAACCCATCATCATCCTACTCGCCTACAATGAAACCCCAATTTAAATCACCAACCTAAAGGTCTTAGTGTACTATTTTAAACTCAAAAAATTTGCAGAGAAACAAAAGGAATACATTGCCATAAATGAAGAACATAGATGAACACAGAGATGCTGACAACAACAGCTTTGTTTCGACCATAAACAGCTTCAATGATGCCCTATACCTAGACGATCTTCAATAATTACAGCAAAGATAAACAAAATTGAGGTTCCTTGCTTCTGATGAGGGTTGATTTAGCATTAGTTTTTTAGAGGAGAGTGAGATAGCAATGGGTAAATGGAAATAGGGTTCAAAATCAGATTTCATTTCAGCAGGGACAGCATAATCTTTTTATAATTTGCCTTATTGCAACCAAGTCCCTTTGGGACTCCTAAGTAGTTATTAGATTTGAAGGGACTTTTTTGCATTATTTTTTCTTCTGTGGGACCTTAATGCCATTTTCTAATATTTTTTCCTCTCTATTTCTTACAAGGGATCGAGTCTTGCGAGTTTTTTTTTTTGTTTTTGTTTTTTTGGGGGCAAACAAGTCTAGTAATTGCAAATTACATGTTTGAGGATTGACTTCATATAGGGCATTTGCTTAAGTTTTCATTAAATTTTGCAACTATGAACCTGTTAATTAAACGACGTTTTCAATTATTCATATGCATCATGTTACTCAGTGGGGCTTCATCTTTTATTTTTAGATTGTAGTAAGTTACATACACTAAAAGAGAATTATACTATCACAAAAAAATTGAAAATTATAAATTAGGAATATAATTTTGTGCATTAACCACAAAAGAGAATTTTCTGAAATTTTGGGTATACTTTCCCATTCTGCCTTTTCTTGACCAAAACTTTTGAAAATGACAGCCCAGTCCCTATCCAAGTTTCAAGTCAAAGGTTATTTCATCTCTGTTTCTATTATACCTTCTGAACCTCTGACAGTTTTAAGTTTCTCATTTGCTAGGCTAAATTTTATAGGATATGATTCTCAACCCCAAAACTTCATCGGAGTCTCTTTCTTCCTCTTGTCTTAGTCGCAAGAAACTCTCACTTTGTAATTTAATCCCTTAGAATTCTTTTATCTTTCCAGAAAAACTTTAAGGCTTCTGCTAAAAAAAAAGTTGGATAGCCTTCCTATCTTATATTACTTTTTGTACCTCTAAACCTAAAATTCAAGATGTAACAAATGTGGGTAGATCAACTTATAGAGCTTTGGATGTATAACCTGAATATGAACATGTGGATCCGACCGGTACGCACTTCCTCGTTTATCTTTATCTTCCCAACACCAAAAAAGAAATAGGGGAGCCAAAGCTGCAAGACTCAGGTGCACTGACAATATTGGCAGGTTTTTAGGTACTAATACTAACAGCAATTGTTCAATGTACAAAATACTATATATTATGTGTCAGATATTATTAGTTAAATTTATAAAAAAAGATTCTATCCCGAATTGCAAGTTAAATGCACAGTTGATGTCCACAAGGGACAATGCTGTCAAAGATAGATATTTTCTTTGGAAAATAGCAGATAGATTAGGTTAATTATTTGTCAGGTGGAAAGTCGCTTTATGGATGTGGACACACCACCCTGCACGGATGGCCCTTGGAAATGTATACTCAATTCCAATTCTTGCTATGCTTTTATTAGCTGGAATGTGACCACCTAAAGGAGGTTGCGTGGAAGAACGGTTCGGCTCAACTTGACCCTGAGGATATAATTTAATTAATTTGGAGACCTTTCATGCGTCTTGTCATTGTCTCAGGGTTGAAGTGAAGAATAGGAAATGAGGGAATCGGCGGGTCCTCCTTTTCGTTTTCAGAATAGCTGTCAATTTTAACAGTAGATGTGACTTGAAAAAATCAGGTAAATTTCGTAATTAAGAAATGGTTATAAATAGATTTTTCCTGGTCATCAGCATTTTTTTCTTCCTCTCTATTTTTCCAAGGGATCAAGTCTTTCGATGTTTTTTTGGGCAACCAAGTCTAGTATAATTGCAAATTACTCTTCCAATCCTTAATATAGGACTTAATTGTTGAGTTAATTTTGATTCTCAATATAAGATCTATTTATCATATTTATTAATTTTTTCTAAATTACCCCTATAAATACTCTCTCAACCATAATCAAATAGAAAATGGAGGAAGGATATTAATAAAGATGATTATGGTGTTTTAGGAAAACATGTCATATTTCTTATAATTAACTAACCTACGTAACTTTTTTAATCTAATCAAATTAATTAAATAGGTCTTATATTAAAAACCGGAAGAGTACGTAAGTGTTTGAGGAAGGCCTTCATATTGCAAGGACATTGGCTTAAGGTTTCATTAAATTTTGTAACTATGAACCTGCTAATAAATTAAACGATGTTTTCAGTGATTCATATGCATCATGCTACTATGTGGGGCCTCATTTTTCTTCTTTTGTTTTATTTCTTTACTTTAACTTGTGAAAAAATACCATGACATCGCATCCCATTTGCAATGACTTTTAAGCTGCTTCCAAGTGGAATGAGCATAAATGAACAATACTATGACATAATTTCGGTTTCTTACAAAATGAGAAAACGCAACATCATTACCCAAAAAGCTTAAATTTCCTGTAAAGCTGAAGCACCCCTTTCTTTAACAAAAAATTGAGAGTTATACATTAGGAAAATAATTTTGTGCATTAACCACAAAAGTACAATAACCGTAATCAATTTTTGCTCGAGTACAAAAGTGACACACTTGGTGAAACATTACCGCGAGAAGTTGAAGCAGTGAATCCAGAGGAATTTGTGTTGGAACTAAAGCTTATATTCTGGTTTTGACTTGCATATGAAGCACTGGAGCTCGATAGAATTGAAAATGACATTGGGAATTCATGATAAGTTAGTATGGGATAGCTTGAGGGGAGACTAGGAAATGGAGTTTCAAAGTTAAGCACATGAATTGCTTGCCTTATTGAAGGTCTATGGTTATGATCAGGATGAGCACACCACAGCCCAACAATCATCAGGCATTCCACTTGATTGTGGTCAAAATCTCCTTGTAGCCTTGGATCAACTGCTTCAAGAATTCTCCCCCTTCCATAGAGATCCCACACCCAATTCACTATGTTTATTTCGTCTTCTGGAACCCTATGGTTGATAGGTTTTCTTCCACAAACTAACTCTAGAGCAACAACTCCAAAACTATATACATCAGATTCTTTACTGGCCCTTCCAGTAGTGATACATTCAGGAGCCATGTAACCCATAGTTCCTGCTAAAGCTGTAGTTTGTGCTCCTTTTGCATGGTCTACAAGTCGTGCTAATCCGAAATCTCCAAGTTTTGCATTGAAGTTGGAGTCTAGCATGACGTTGCTTGATTTTATGTCTCTATGAACCACACATTGTTCCCATTCTTCATGCAGGTATAATAAGGCAGAGGCTAAGCCTTGAGCAATTTTAAATCTAATTGACCATGTGAGAAACCTTTTGTCATCAAAGAGATGAGAAGCCAAACTTCCATTTGGCATGTACTCGTAAACTAGCAAGAGCTCTTTCCTTTCATGACACCAACCGATTAGTTGCACCAAGTTTCGATGTCTTAGTTGACTAATAGTTCTCACTTCTGAAGCAAACTCCTTCTTCCCTTGTTTAGAATCCTTTGAAATTCTCTTTATGGCAACGTAGGAGTTTGAATCTTTGAGAAAACCTCTATAGACCCCTCCAAATCCTCCCTGACCAAGCTTTTGCTCATCTTTGAAATTATCTGCGGCACTTGCCAATTCGGCATATGAGTACTTTTTGGGCCCTGTTCCTCCTTCAAAATCATCGTCACTGATGTTGTCATTAGACTCACCATCTTTTGTTTTCTTTTTGTACTTCCACAAGAAAAACAATACAACCAGACAAACTAAAGCAATCCCTCCAACCCCTAATCCTATAGCAAGTGTTGTGGCATTTCTACCTGTACTGGGAGCAATACGTGGGAAGTCCTCTGAGTAGAAACTCCATGTATCGACCTTGTGTATTGCAACTGATGTTCCTGTGGCTGCTGAGAAACCGAAACTAACCCATTGAGGCAAGTACTTTCTTAGATCAACTATTTGATGAAGATGTTGCCACACAGTGTTGTTAAATTGATCAAAACCGGTGAAGGAGACACTTAAATTACGTGTACTTGCAGTGTAGCTGATGAAAGCCTGATTTGATCTGCCTCCTGTGATATTAGCCAGCCATCGAACACTTCTATTAGATCTAATAGAATTGATATCGACACCCACATGTACATACGGAGGATCCCATCCTTCAGTAGGACCCCAATTGGGATAGATATCAAACTCCACAGCAACAAAGGGATGATCTGTTGAATTAAGTATCGTTTCTTGGCCTCCAATAATCAGACCCATAGAACCTCCTCCAACTTTTGGGGGATTAGGAAGCTTTGAGCCATTAGGGGCTAAGAAGAAGGCCATCCCATCTCCAACATTACTCCTGTTCTGTGAATCAATCACGAAGGTGAAATTGGTGTTGAAATTTACGAGTTTCCCGGTGGCTTTGTCCCACAAGTGCATCGGTTCTTGATATGTGGCTCGACCTTGACTATTGTCTGAGGATAGCTCCTTTTGGTTTCTTACTAAGTAGAGGTATGACTCTGCAATGTAAGCTGATAATTCACACGATATCTTGCTATAATCATTGGGCTGGAAACTGGTGAAGCTGAAGTTCATGGAAAAGGCATGGGATATCAGGAGGAAGAAAATTGATATTCGCAACATCTGATCTGATTTGGCTAGGAAGTATGCTGTGTCTGAGCTTTCAAGGAGAGGCATTTATATATACAGTCGAAGAAGTCAAGAAGCTTGCGAGTCCTCCTTTTTTGGCAAAAATTAATGAGCTAGTGGTAATAATTTTAATTACTCCCTCCGTTTCTTATTATAAGAGACATTTGATACTTATGGCATGTTCCTATATATAAGAGACACTTAAAAGTTGTCTCTACTTTTTTGTGTTGATTTTCTATTTTACCTATATTTATTGTCTCCAACTCACACTCTCTCTCCCTCCCACTTCTCTTTCTTTCAATAATTTAATTGTTCTCTCTCATACTCTCTCTCCTTATTAATGAGGGCATTTTTGGAAAAAAATTATATTTTTTACACATTGATTGTTCTTAACTAATTTTAACTGCTTTTTTTATCAACGTAATTCGGTTATTCGTCTCTTATAATAAGGAACGGAGGGAATATCTTATTTTTAATAAAGTCTCTGTAATCCCCACCCATATTACTAAGTCATTGTATCCCTGATTATTATACATTTATGATGTTATACTAGTGGTTCGGAATTGGTTTTTTTGTTCAAAAGTTAGGAATGTGTTTGGATCTTCTAACTTAACTCCTTAACGAAATAAATGTAGAATGTGTATTTGGGAAGAGGGGAAAAAAATCAAAGAAATTAGTGCACCCTTGTATAAGATATGACTTCATCTTTTTGCATAACTTCAGTCTTTTATGTTATTTTCCTTTTTAAATAGCATACTATTTACATTCACTTTATGAATGGGAAAAAAAATCATGAAATATGATTGGATGTAATTTGAAATGGATAATAAATTTTGGGTTTCATCAATGACCATAAAAAATACCCAGAAAATGATCAATGAAAATGGATACTAATTGTCAGGGGGAGGAGTTGAGTTGACTGAGTCAATATGAAAAAATCAATGCCCATTTGTGTTGAATGTTGACTTTCTCCGTGAAGATAAAAGCTTGCATTAACTGTGTTTGGAATCACTACATTGTCCCATCTCTGATCATATAATTGAATTTTCAACCCCCACATAATGCATTTGTTGACCCGATTTTGTGGATTTGAAGGCATGGCAGAGAAGCTGACTATATTCCCACCGAGATATTGAAAATAAAATCTTTTTTTGAATCAGTTGAAATAGTGATTGGAATAAACCCAATCATGATTCAAATACTATGATTTAATTAAAATGTACAAAAATATTTACATATAACCAGTAAAATTTTAAAACACAAAGTTGAGATTGGAGATTTATATTTTCGAGAATCAATCCGGGTTCACGCTAGGAAAGGTCCACAATAGAAATGATTTATTTATTAAAGGGGTTGAGGAGAAGTATCAAAAGAAAGAAAAAGGCTTGCACATGGTTTTAATTGATTTGGAAGAAAACATATGAAAGTGTATAGGAGATGGTCTTTGAGAAGTCCTAAAAAAGAAAAGTCTGCATGTTGCAAATATTAAAGTCATACAATATACATATGAAGGGGTAACAACTAGTATAAGAATACTGGAACGTGAGGTAAATAACTTTTCTATAAAAATTAACCTACATTATTTCATACACGAAAACAAATCCCCCATGGGCCAAACAAAGAAAATCTCCTGTAACAAAAATTAAACGTTTATTCTCAGTATGAATTAATAATATTTCTTATTGTATTGATTCGAAAGTATTTTTTTATTATACATAAACCAGTACCTAAGTATGCTTACTGTTATAGGCTAGAAGGTCAGATAACTAAATACCATAAAAAGGAAATCTGACTTGAGATATAGCCTTCCAAGTAAGAAACTTGTTACTAAAGAGAAACTTCCTGGACTATTTTCCTTCCTTGATTTGTGCTGACGTGGATGATTGTGAGGATCCAGTGTATGACCTATTACTTGGTGAAGGCCTAGCTTGATTGGTTGCAGAAGAACTAGCACAAGCAGATGAAAAGTTTGAAGAACCAATGTCAGAAAAAGTTGGAGCAGCAAAAATTGGTTTGGGCATTGTTGGTGGAATAGTGGGCAATGGAGCTTCAAAGTTAAGCACATGAAGTGCTTGTCTGATTGCAGGCCTCATAGTGTAATCTGGGTGAGCACACCAAAGCCCAAGAATCATTAACCTTTCAACTTGCTCATCAAAATCTCCATTATCAAGCCTTTTGTCAACTGCTTCAAGGATCTCCCCTCTGCCATAGAGTTCCCATACCCATTCCACCATCATGACTTGTTCATCACTAGCATTAGGGTCAATTGGTTTTCGCCCACATGCTATTTCTAAAGCAACAACTCCAAAACTGTACATGTCAGATTCTCTTGTGGCCTTGCCCCTCGCCAAACATTCAGGAGCCATGTATCCTTTTGTTCCTGCTGCGATTGTTGATGTTAACCCTTTGCCATGTTCTACGACTCTTGCTAATCTAAAATCTCCGAGCTTAGTGTTGAAATTCGAGTCCAACATAATATTGCTTGGTTTTATGTCTCTATGGACTACGCACTGCTCCAACTCTTCGTATAAATAAAGCACTGCTGAGGCTAAACCTTGAGCAATATTGTATCGAGTTGGCCATGTCAAGAGGTCTTCGCTTTGAAACAAATGATAATCTAAGCTTCCATTTGGCATGAACACGTGGATGAGTAGAAGATCATTTTTTTGGTGGCACCAACCCATCAATCGCACCAAATTCTTGTGCCTTAATTGACTAATGATCTTCACTTCAGAGGCATACTCCTTTACCCCTTGTCTAGATTCTTGGGACACCTTTCTTAATTGCAACAAAGTATTTAAGCCTCTCATGAATCCTTTGTAGACACTACCAAAACCTCCTTCTCCAAGTTTGTGTTCCTCAGCAAAGTTGTTCGTGGCTCTCGCAAGTTCATTATAGAAAACTTCTTTGGTCCAACACTTTCAAAATCTCTGTCCAAGGAAACATCCAAGCGATCATCCTTTTTTGCACTACAATTTAACTTCCATATGAGGAACCAAGCTATGCATAACCCACCAACCCCTACAACTGATCCAATGCTCAATCCAATGACCAAACGCTTATTATTGCTTTTACTTTTTGGCACCACTCCTCTCAACACTTTATTAGGACTTGAATTGAAGGCCCCTGAGCACAGTGTATGTAACTCAAACTGAAATCCTGTGGCTGAAGAGAACCCAAACTGAACTTGTTCTGGTAGATAGTCTCTCAAATCAATCTGATGGGAGTAGTTTTGTCTGATTTTGATGTTATCCTTATATCCTGTAAACATGACACTTAACTGGAATGAACTAGAATTGTAGGTAATCTCAGCATCGTACTTTCTACCATCATTCATGGTGTACCATTGTGTTGTGTAAGGAGACCACATCTGTTTTACATTAATTCCCACATGATCCTAAGGTGGATCTCTTGCATTAAGCATGGTGTCAAACTCGACTGCTACAAATGGATGTGCATCAGAATAAGTTGGATCTCCCATTTCTCTACGACCCACGAGACCAATACCAGTGCCATCTGGGGGAACTGGAAGTGGAAAATTTGGGTGTGCTAATAAGAATGTGATGCCATCTCCATGCCCATCACGAGTTTCGTTGAGTACATTGATAATGAAGCTGAAACGGGTAACGAAGTTTACAAGTGTTCTTGTCTTTTTGTCCCCAATTTGCAACAGGTTCTTGTACGTTACTCTCCCTGCACTGTCCTTTTTGTATCTGACTTAAACATCAGATCGTTAGATTCATAATAGATCGTAATAGAGAGACCTTAGACTCCCTATTTTTTTAACTCTATTTCTTTGCTGTCCTTAATTAACCATGTGCTATTTAGTACCATCAACCAATCCAAATTCATGTTTTTTTGAGCACCACACAAGGTTTGCTCTTTCCAAGTGATTTATTTTATCCGCAAGACTTGGAACTTATCCAGAGAGAATCAAGTGCGTATCACTTGATCTAACTACTATTGATGTATCTCCATTTCTTGACAACTACAAAAAATAATGCATACTTGACATACAAGATTGACTTTACAATAAACAGAGAAATCATAATTACACAGACCTTGTAAGACCAACAATTAACATTTGAATACCTCAAATTAGTGAAATACAATGGAAGGAACAAGATCATCAGCTAAATTTTTTACCCAAACACACGCGCGCACTGATAGAATGCCTTTCGCCTGCCCACACCGGCCTGTTAAACTATTTTAAAAGAATTTAGTTCCAGTAAAATAGAAGAATTTTCAGAGTCAGGTTGGTGCTTTTTAATAGTATAGGTTGTGTAAATTTTATACCCACTCCAAACTTTTTCAATAGTCTTATTTCCCGTTCCCTACAATAATTTTGTCCAAGACTGAAATTTGTTGATATTAGCAATCAGTCACCTAATTTGGTTGACGCTAAGCATTTACTAGCCATGTGAGGTGGGGCAAATCATTCACACTTAAAAGAAGAAAGAAAACACGCAAAGCCTCATGTGATTAAAATAACCGGTGTGATACACGATGCCTTCAGAATTTTATTCCCCCCCCCCCCCAAAAAAAAAAAGCATGCAAAGTCTCTTCCTTTATTGTAATTAGCTGGGTTTTGTATTAACTTCTTGTAATTAATTCTTTAATGGAATTGTTTTTCCTTTTCAGAAAATGGGGAAAAAAAAAACAAAGCATGCAAAGTCATTTGGGATTGTTGACTCCTTGATGGCCAACGAGTCTATCTTGAGTCTTTTCCAGAGGAAGGTCTTTTCTTCCTTTGTCTTGAAGAAAGAGGTTCATGGACTAATTTGTCAAGAGTAGTACAGAGTAGTAGGGAGGTGTTGAGAATAAGAACAGCATATAGAGACTACTTTGTCATTTTTCTTCCTTTGATTGATTGCCAACCGAAAAAAAAAGAAAAAGAAAAAGAAAAAGGAAATGATCATAGCAATTAAGACAGTAACTAATTGTACTTAAAGCTTTAATTTCTTGTAAAGCAGTTGATAATATTTAACAGAAAT